GCTGGGTCGGTTCGACGAGTCTGGCCATGTCCCGGCTGTCGGCGCCGCTGGTGGTGGCCCTGTGCCGGAGGAAGAGCACGCGTCTCACGGCTGTCATCGGGGGCCTTGTCATGGCACTGGCCATCCTCTTCGCCTCCTTCGCCCTCCAGCTGCACCAGATCTTCCTCAGGTGGGTCCTTCGGCACTTTTTTTCGTGTTATTTATTTTATCTATTTATTTATCTGTCTATCTAGCTATCTGTCTGTCTGCCTGTCTTTCTATCTATCTGTCTGTTAATCTGTCTATTTGTCTATCTATCTGTCTGTCTCTGTCTGTCTGTCTGTTTATCGTTCGGGACTTTGTTGGTATTTATTTTATTTGTTTATGCTTTTATTTGTCTATCTAGCTATCTATCTGTCTGTTTATCTGTCTGTCTGTATGTATGTATGTCTATCTGTCTGTCTGTATGTATGTATGTCTATCTGTCTGTCTATCTATTTGTCTGTCTATATATCTGTCTGTCTATCTATCTATCTATCTATCTGTCTATCTATCGATCTGTCTCTCTGTCTTTCTGTCTGTCTGTCTATCTATTTGTCTCTCTGTCTCTCTATCTGTCATCTACTTATCTATTTATTTATTTATCTCTCTCTCTCTATGTATCTATCTATTTATATATCTATTTATATATTTATTTACTTCTCTATCTCTCTATCTCTCTATCTGTCTGTATGTCTGTCTGTCTATCTATCTATCTATCCATCTGTTTATCCACTTATCTTTCTATCTATCTATCTATCCATCTATTTATCCACTTATCTTTCTATCTATCTATCTATCCATCTATTTATTCACTTATCTGTCTATCAGTCTATCTAGCTACCTATTTATCTATTCAGTCATTCATTTATTTGCTTTTTTACTTTTACTTTTCTTACTAGTTTTTTTTTACTTAGTTATTGTATCATTATTTTTGCGGCGCTGACTACCCTCTTCCTCTCCTTCGCCCTCCAACAAGGTCCTGCTCAGGTGGGGCTAGCTTTTATATATTTATTTATTTACTTGATCGAATTATCTCTTTGTTCAGTTGTACATTCGTTCACTTTTGCATTTTTGTATTCTTGGTGTTTCCCCCATCCTCCTCCTCTTCCTCTTCCTCCTCCTCCTCCTCATCATCATCATCATCATCCTCTCCCCCCTCCTCCTCTCCCTCCTCCTCCTCCTCCCCCCACCCCCCATTATTATTTCTCGTTTTCTCTTTTTTTTTCCTTCTGTCTCTTTTTTTTCTCTCGCTCTCATCCACGCATTCGATCTCTTTCTCTTTCTCTCTTTTTCCCTATCTTTTCCCCTTTCTCTTTTTCTCTCGCTCCGCTTCAATTTTCTCTTTTTAAAGTTTTCCATAACCAAAGCTACAATTTCCCAGTATGTACTTATGTTCTTTCTATATTTTAAGAAGATGGGAATAACATAGAAAGAAAGAAAAGGAAGAACTAAGGAAGGTAAAATATTTATCTAAATAGATTATGCACAGTTTTCGTTTCTCTTTTCTTTCTTTCTTTCTTTCTTTCTTTCTTTCTTTCTGTCTTCCATTCTTTCGTGTTTTTTTTCCCTTCTTTCCTGAATCTTTCCTGTTTATTCTTATCCAAATATCCTCGTGTTTTCCATATATTCTAAAGAAAACCCGAAGTTTCTTTCCTTCTTTCCCTCACTTCATTCATTCTTTCCCTACTGTCTGTTCATCAATATCATCACAATCCAAGATAATCTCAACGTTCTTTCTCTCTCCTTCCTTCTCCACTCTTCCTTATTCTTTCTTTTATTTTATTTTTTCTCTCTCTCCCTTAATTGCATCACCATAACCAAAGGATTTTTGTCCACAGCCATTTCTAGGAAGCCCTCAATCTCTCTCTCCTGTCTTTTTTCTTAATATCTCCTTTATTCCCCTTCCTTCATCCCTCCTCGCTCAGCAGCACCATCCTAACCAAGTCCCTCCCGCCCACAGCTACGACCTGGTGCTGAGCGTGGGCGTGGGCGTGAGAGTAATACACTCATCTCTAAAAAAAAGAAAAAAAAAATGGAATCTCTCTCTCTTTCTCTCTCTCTCTCTCTCTCTCTCTCTCTCTCTCTCTCTCTCTCTCTCTCTCTCTCTCTCTCTCTCTCTCTCTCTCTCTCTCTCTCTCCCTCTCTTTCCTTCCTTTAACCTCTCCTTCATTCCCCTTCCCTCCGTTCCTCCTCCCTCAACACTACCACCCCTAACTAACAACTCCCATCCCGCCCACAGCTACGGCCTGGTGCTGGGCGTGGGCGTGGGCATGACGAGGGAGACGGCCAACCTGATGCTCGGCCAGTACTTCAAGCGCAGAAGAGAATTCGTCGAGATCATCGCCCAGTCAGGCTGCGGGATCGGCATCACCCTCTTCTCCGTTTTCTTCAAGGAGGCCATCAGGTAGGGGAGACTTTTGCTTTTTTTAGTTTTTTTGGGAGGTATATGCGTGTGTGTGTGTGTATATATGTAGATGCG